CGTGACATCTTTGCCGGTCACCTATCTTGCGGTGATGGTGGAGAAGAGGCTCGATGATGTGAAAGAATAGGTGATGGCTGTCGTTGTGGAGGTGTATAGCCGGGTCGATCAGATGATGGCTCTAGGTGAGGTGATAGCTCTGGGCGAGGTGATGGCTCCCGAAGTGGAGGCTGCTCATCAACCGTTTCATCAAAAAAACGCTTACTAGCTTGCCACCAATCAGTGGCAAGCTCAGCTTCCGTGGGTGTCAGCCTCTGTAGAGGAGTGTTGGCCTCCTAACAATATAAAAGCTTAAACAAAGTTAAATGTGTACTAGTAATAACTTGTTTATAAACATATGGTAGTATTTATGTTAACTTACATTATTTATTGTCGTATACCGTAGTAAATCTTCCCATTGCAAGGTTCGTTTCCTCTTCCAGGAAATAGCCCTGGGAATATTATTTGAAGTTTTTATTGCATATGTCTTCATGGCGGGAAAGGCCTCAAATATCCAAATCTACAAACATATAATAACAAACATTAGTAATTGTTAAATAATTACTTATAATTTTGGAAACATTATATAAAAATTCTTACCTTAAAGGCCCAAATAAAGCCTGTCAAAGTGTATTTGGAACCATCGCCATGCAAACTTTTTCGATCATCCAAGGCAGACGATAACTTATTCCATGTAGCTTTCCATAAATACGAGCCCCACGGAAACAGGTTCCACGCATTTAGGTCTTCTACCAATTTGATTAGATCATTTGGAATAGGTTGTCTGGCCTCTCTGCCTAAAAAGCCGGCATGCAAAAGAATTAGAAGGCATACTCGGACAACGTCGACGTCATCCATCCGAGTAAAACCATCTTTATTATTCAAAAATCTTGTCAGGTCTTCTACGTGTAGACTCGGCCTCTCCAGCTCAGGGAAAACCCGGGATAGCCATGATGGGCGGGTAATGTGTCTAGTGTACCGACCTACATCATCGTGTCCGAAGCGTAGACCGGTGATTAAGCAAAACTCCTCCCGCCCAAAACACGTATACGCCGGTGGAAAATCAAACCATATCTCTTCATCACGACGTTGTATAGTCTCTGGTAGATCTCTAGTCATGGTTTGAAGAAACAGGTGTGTCAACATCGCATCTCCACCGGGATGTTGTACTTTCAGCCATGGCCCGAAGCATGTATCCTCAAACATTTTTCTTTGTGCAGGTGAAAGCTTCGACGCAATTGTTTTGGCCAGGCTGACTTTATTTCTCAAGGTCAATTGAGCCGAATAAAAGTTCTACAAAAACAATAAACATACTAAATTAGATATACCAAAAACTACACTGTGAAGATATACCAAAAACAATAATAAACATAAATAGTAGTAGTTTATTCTTCAAACTTAAATATGCAACACTGTGAATTTTGTATTTGTCTTTGTTTTTTGGTTGAAGTAATGCAATTCATTCAAGTTTCAATTTGCAGAAGAAGAATAGTTTCTGAAAATGAAAATCGCAACACGAAAATGACTATCGCAACGAGAGAATCGCAACGCGAAACTAAAATCGCGTTGCGATTTGCATTTCGCGTTGCGATTCTTGGTTGATTTAATAAGCAATCTAAGTGAAATGGTTAATCTATTATTGAAATTACCAGTAAACCTATCATCAATTTCAATATGAAAAACCTAATAATAATGCAAAAATTTCAAAAAGAAAATAATTAAAAAAACTAACCCTCGTTGGTTGATTTGGTTGATTTTCCATTTCTGATTGTGAGGGTGGCTCTGAGAGATTTAGATAGACGGATTTCGCCGGAGATGGGGACGGATTTCGTCGGAGATGGGTGAGAGAGTGAGAGATGGAGATGGGACTGAGTTGTGATTTTAGGTTTTAGGTTATGAGTTGCGATTACGGGATATACTGTGGACAGTTCAGTGTTCCAATATATTTATATTCATGTTTGGAATTTAAAAATAAAATACTTGGCCAGGATACTAATGGCGCTTTGAAAATCGCATTGCGATTATGTATTATCGCGTTGCGAAAGTCAGTATCGCGTTGCGAAAGTAAGTATCTCGTTGCGATTTTTTTATTATCGCATTGCGATAGTCAGTATCGCATTGCGATTTTCCCAATTCGCGTTGCGATTTACTTATTCGCATTGCGAATTTCCCAATTCGCGTTGCGATTTACTTATTCGCATTGCGAATTGGGAAAATCGCAACGATACTGTAGACCATCGCAACGCGATTTTCAACTATCGCATTGCGAAAATGCAACGCGAATTTGCGATAATGGAGATCGCGTTGCGAATTAGCGATCGCATTGCGATTTTGTTGGTCATTTTGGCAAATCCGAAAAAAGTTGGTTAAAATCGTATATTATATGGGATTTTTGGTCACTGAGGTTATTTTCTCTTTTTTTATAGGATAAAAGATTATTAAATTTCAAATTTTATTAAAAGAATTACTAAATTTATTGAATAATTATAAAATTATGAATTTCGTTTTAATTAATTCCCAAATTTTTAGATATTTTAATTATCTCATACGTTTTTAAATTATGAATTTCATTTTAAATTATTTTCTAAACTTTTGAACATTTCAATTTTTTTTAATTTATGATTTTTATTTTAAATTAATTCTCAAACTTTTGGATATTTCAATTTTATTCTCAAATTATAAATTTTTCAGACTTTTGAGCATTTTCATTTTATTCCAAACTGTAGGTGTATGCTAATCACATCACCTATTAGTAAATTTGCTAGGCTAAGCTTTATTATTTTTATATTCAAAGAGTATAGGGACCTATTTAGAATGAAGATTATAGTTTAAGGATGAAATTGAAACATTTAAAAGTTTGAGTAATAATTTAGAATGATAGTAATTTTTTGCTTTCGCCACAGAGATAACCCAGGACCAGAGAAAACAGAGGAGAAACCTTAAGAAAAAAAAGATGGTGGCGATTTCTTTGTACAGAGGGAACCTCCACCGAGCACCGGACGTACCACGGCGGTGGCTAATGCCGACTCCCAAAATTTCCCTCGAAGACTTCAAATCCCTTTTGCACCGCCGCAACAAAGCTCTATCTCGTCTCCGTTATTCCTCTCCTTCCTCTAACCCTAACCCTAACCCCGATTCAAAGAATCCAATTCAGCCCCCCGTGCCCACTTCCGCTCCCCTTGACCCCAAATTGAAAGCCAAAGTCGAGTCCGAGCCATCCGAGGGTTTGAAAACTGGACTGCCTCTAACGGAGGTTAAGGTTGAGGTAGTTGGAGGATCCGAAGGTGGAGGCTGTTTGACGAAGCCGGTGGATGAGAAGACCGAGAAAGATGCTAGTTTGCAAGTGGTTGAGAAAGAGAAACCACCTGAGACTAAAACGAACCTAGAAGTATATTGTTTGCTTGAAATTTTTTATTTTTGAATTCTGAAGCATAAATTTTGAGCTTGAATATTAGTTTGCTTGAAAGTTGTAATATCTTTTGTTCTTGCTTGTTGAAATGTTCTTGATTTGTTGTGAATTGCCAGGCAAGTGAGAAATTAAACGATTTAAAGGAAAAAGAAGAAAGGAAGAGGGTTGTTGAGGAGAAATTACAAGTTCTGAATACGAAGAAGCATGGTTTAGTGCAAGTACTAAAGCAGGTAATCCTCAATTCTAATGCCTTTTTTTTTCGAATCGAAGACATGTCTTTTGAGAATTGCATTCCTGAAATTAATTGGTAGTATTCGATAGATATTGAATGCGGAGGAAGAGTTAAAGAGAAGAAATAGCACACAAGGTACAGCTAATTGTCCGGCTGTTCCACTTCAAGTGGAAACTGCAACCGACTCTGGGTCGATGACGAGGATTGTCACCCCCCGGATGGGATCGGATGCTAATGTCACTGGAGAAAATGAAGGAGTTGAAGCTGATGATGTTTCGAACCCTATCGTTCATTCCCGTCATGTGTTTCGGATGAGCAGCACATCACCGTCTTCAGAATCTCCTCTTAGAAGACCTACCTACATTCAACATAATGTGGTAATATACTATGTTTGTTCTTCCTTTTCTTTATGTCTAATAACACATTGATACGTGAACATCCATAGATTTTATCTCTGAACATCATTGTGTTGTAATGTCAAAGTGGGTGGTTCAAACTATAGGAAGCTAAAGGCTATGGGAATGTGTAATTTGATCCCACTTAACTGTAGGATAATGTGCATTTCGGATCTGTGCCTAAACTTACTTTGGATACTATTCTCCCTGTTTCGATTTAGCAAATTGCCAATTGCTTATCTTATGAACCACCACAAGCTTCTTCTCTTGCATTTGGTTGACAATAAGCCTCCTTCTGTTGCTTAGAGCCTACACACCGTGATACTTTTTTCCTTTTCGTGTTTCGAGGAAATAGATGCACGATGTAGGTAAAATTGAGACCTTGTAACGATAAGCATCAACTGCAAGGTGTTATGTTTCAGTACGTAAGAGGAATAAAATACGATCTATTACTACCTAAGGATCACATTGTTTAAAGTTAACATTCTTCGAAACTATGTTGTTTGATTGGTTGATCTTCATTGAGGTGTTTGAAAAATCGAACTATGTTCTTTCTAGGTCCATCGTATTGCTTTCTAAACTTAAATTCGATTAGTGAACACTATCTGTTAAGCCAGGTTGAGTTTCTGTGAAGTTTGGCTGGTGGGCATGCTAATGATATTCCGTTATTGCTCATATGTTTAGGTTCCCCACACGTCTCGAGCTAGCATGATGGTCACGGGCAGTCCATCACGTTTCGCTCCAACTGGAAATCAAGGTCATCCTGGGAATCCTCCCACCGTGTCTGTATCGGGAACGAATTTTGTCGCGTCATCTCCTTCTCCTGCAGCATCCGGTGGTACTTCGGTTTTCAGAGAGGCTCGGCAGCCAAGCCCATGGAATTAGAATCTGTATCTAATTGAACTCTTCTTGTTTCTTCATGGTGTCTTTTGTTAAAAGGTTTGGGCCAAAGAAGAACGAAGGCGAATGTTGTTTGTGAAACGATATGGTTACAGTTTCAAGAGAAAAGTAATGGCTTTGTGTGCATTTGTTTAAATTTTTATTGTTTGGTAGTATTACTTTTGAAAATTGATTTAAAAAAGTTATTTTAAAAAAGTGTATATGAAGATTGTTTGAGATTAATATTAAAAATTTATTTTTTTATTAATCTGAGATAAGTGTAAGGTAATATATGTTTCAAGATAACTCACCTCCTTTTGACATTAAATCTTCACACCTCTGACATTCTTGATGTTCGAACTCGAGTTCTTAATGAATAACAACAATTTATTTATTACGGAGCCATTCGGTTCATGCAATATTAAAAATTAGTTTGAAAAGATTAAATGTTTATTTTAGCATTTTAGACATTGTGTTGTAAATTAAAAATATATAATTTAAAGATAAAAATATAATTTTACTAAAAATGATTTTCTATCATAAAAGTTAAAAATTTGAGCTTTTGAAATTAAGTTGAAAATCATTTTTCTAGTCATAATTTTAGATAATTTTTTATGTATTGATTATTGGGTGAAAAATCACTTTTCCATTAACGTAAGCATCTAGTGCTATTAAGATATCGTTTGGTTTGGGGAATGTGAGATTCTCATGGGAATAGAATTCACATTCTCTTTTTGGTTGGCTGAGAATCTCATTCATGGTAATGTTTTATTATCAATAGTGAATTTTTTGGGGTGTATTACTGGGAATGTCATTACGTCCTTCCTTTAAGTATTGTTGGATTATCGGTGTTTTTAACTAAAATACCCTTAATTTTTTTCCAAAAATATTCTTCTTCTGTCATTAAATAATAAAAATTTTACGAAAATTAAATTATAAATTTATCCTTTAACTATTTTACATTTACAAAAAAATCTATAATTAAAATTTTATATGAAGTTCAGGGATTAAAATAAAATTTTACCCTTTTATTAAACTTTTTTATATTTTTAATTTTGTAAAAAAAATTATATAAATTTTATGAATTCAAATTTTTAAAAAAATATATATAAATATTTTTTAACTTGTTAAAAAAATAAATATATAATAAGGATAATTTGATCAAATATACATTCTAATAATCTTTTATTCCTTTAACCAAACACAGTAATCTAATATTCTTGCTAAATAAACATTCTTAATAATTCTATTCTCCAATAATCTTTTATTCACACCAATAATCTTACCTTCGATGAACTAAACGTGAATGTATGTTTCCCTGTAATTGATAGGTTAATTTCAACTTCTGTTGGTTTTAGGATCCCTGGATCTGTGCTTGCAGCTCACCCATCGGTGCTAACAGCTCTTTCTAGCTTGAACTCTGATATACTTTCAGAGGCATCTGTAAATGGTATTGCATTTTTTGAGAAAATATAATTTCTTATTAAGCTCTGCTACTAAATTGTTTTGGTAGTCAGATCTATCCTCATTGGAAGGTAGTGGTTAGGCATTAATTTCATTTATCAATTTCCCTATTCTTGCAGTTGTTTCTGAATTTATACACTACACAGCATCAAAAAGCTCTGGTGGTGTTTCTGTACAAGGGCCATTAATTCAAGTAATTGTGCCTCAGGTTATGAATCTGCAGGCACAGCTTAGAGATTCTTCAAAGGTATGGCTCTTTCCACTTCATGTATCCCCCTTCCACCCTTCACCTTTTCTCTGCGAAAAAAAAATAATCTCAAATGATAGAATGGATCTATGTGGATGTAGTAAGAAAATTCTTAATAATGATGTATCCTTTTTATTTTTTAAGTGGTTTAGGGTTCTTTTTTCTTTTATCTTTTTGGACAGGTAGGGGAAAGGTTCTGTGCCCAAAAGTTAGGTGCTGGTTGCTTATGGGTGAAGTATTCATAAACAGTGTAAATTTGTTTCTTATTTGTGAAACATGCCATGTCTTGATCTTGGAGACAGAAATACAATGTATTGGTGTAAATAAGTTGATCATTCTCACACTGTGGTGTGACTATGTCATAGTCATTCTCAGGGATGTTATATGAACCAATGATTCTCTTTTACAAACATATGGGTGGAATTTGAGATGTTTCACTTCTTAAATTAGCTGCATGTTGGGGGGAATTGGGATAAATATATCTTATATGCCTGTAGGAAACAAAAATGTGTTTAGTGCTATAACTTTTGGCCTCCTTAGTGCTTTATATAAGAGAGTGCTGTTGGCTTGATTCTTTTTCTAAAAAAAATTAGATGTTATTCCTTCTGTTTTTATGATTCTTCCAAGGGTTGCCATGTCCTTTATGATGGAAAATTATCTAACAAACAGTTGTTGCTGTTAGAGATTAACAAATGTCTCATTAGGGTATATTTGAGAAGAAAATGATATAATAGAGAAAAGCATGCATCATAATGTTTTACTCCACTGGTGGAGTTTAGAAACTCACCCGTAATGTTTGAAACAATAATACTATGTTTTGTTGTAATTTTGCTTTTGTTTCGTTCGCAAAATTTTGAAACCTTTGTTTGTTTGTGGATTCTGATTGGACCATCACTGCTTATTTAAAAAAAGTGACTATTTTAATTAATTCCTAAATTGTACTTTGTGTTTTCAGGATGAGGAAGATGTTAAAGCTATTGCTCGATTATTTGCAGACATGGGTGATTCATATGTTGAACTGATTGCAACTGGTATATAACAGTGCTATTACTATATTTCTACAACTGTTGAATACTTTCAATTTTCACCTTTTAACAGTTGATTGCTTTTGATTTATGCAAGTTGCTCTTGTTCCCATGAACAATATTGAGAATTTTGATTATGGTTTATCTTCTTCCTTATAATTGATTGATTTTCTTTTTCAGGATCCGGTGAAGCAATGATGATAGTGAATGCTTTGCTGGAAGTTGCTTCACATCCAGAATATGATATTGCTTCAATGACCTTTAATTTTTGGCACAGTCTTCAGGTTATCTTGACAAAAAGGTGAGTTCAAGTGGAACTTTGTCTAGTTTGATGAGTTATTGATTTGAGTTTTTCTTGAATACCAGGAATTCCAATATTTCATTTGGTGACGAAGCATCCATTGAAGCCGAGAGAAACCAGAGGCTTCAAGTTTTTCATCAATCATATGAGTCTCTTGTATCCTTGGTGGGTATGCTAGTTCATTATTTTGGGAATTCTGCTTTGGTAATGTCTTTAGTAAAAGGTCACAGCTAGTCCTGCCCCTATTGTAGTCAAGGATGATGGTGCCTTAAGGATGCTAAGGTCCTTTCTTTTTTCCATGGGTGCTACCTCCTGCCATTTTAGGTAGGCACCTTTATTCTAGCAGTTCCATTGATGCCCAGGCATACCTTTATCCAGGGAAGAGGTGCCCAATAGCCCTTGCCTCAGTGAAATTTCCCTTTAATATCTATCAGTTTTTATTTCGCTTATGATTCCAATTTTACAGAAATAAATACATGGATTTTCTACAAGCATAAATATGTTTACTTGTGTCTATTCTCTGGAGATGGAATTGCCTTCCCTTTTTAAGTCTAGGTTTTCCATAAAACAAAAAGGAATGATTACTGAAGTAAATTCTTCACTTGAGCAAGCACTATTTTATACACTAGTAAATGGTAAACCTAAAACTTGTGCTTCACCTTAGTGCCCTCACACATTGATGTCATCTATGGAGCATCAGTAAGTTTGGAGAAGCCCATACCCTGCTTCTCTGTAAGACAAAAACTGATATGCTAACTGTCTAATATCATATCATTCTTTAAAACTTAGCATGCGATCATTATCATAAGAATTTGTAGAATATATTATCTATTACATCCTTATTGTTCTCTGATGGATGTAGTTGGCTATTTTGAGGGGAAAGGCTAGCATGCTGTTGATGCTTGCTATTTGCTTAATTGTCCTGCAATTGTGAACAAATATTTTATGAAAATCTCTGTTTAATATGAGGTATTTATTATTGCATATCTATCTTTTCTGAAAGGGAAGCAGACCTAAAAAAATAATTCGGCGGGTGAACTTTGATTGATTGCGAAAAAATGAATGTCATGTTTGATTTTTAACATTAGATTTTCCTATCGTCTAAGACTTTGGAGTGCCATGGTTTTTCTCAACAGGTTAGCTCCAGAGTTCTATATCCCCTATCCTATCAAGATCTTTCATATGAGGATCTCAAGGAATTCAAACACACAAGATATGGTAATAATTTTACTATTTTTGTTGGATATTCTCCTTTGCTTGTGAAAAGCCTAGTTAGCTTCTGTCTCTGCCTCTCCGGTCTCTTCCTTTACCTGGATAGTGCAATGAGCCGTCTATAAGGCTCTGTTTAATTTTAGTTCACATCTGTGAGGATCTCAAGAAAATACAGTATTCAAATCAAATTTTAGATACCAAATTTTGGATGTTTATACATTGTATTGTCAGTTTCTTATGTGGTCCACTATCCGTCCTTGTTTTGCATGAACTTGTGTAGGTATTTTTCTGACCTTCACCTAATATAACCAATAGCACATGTTCTTCTAGAACATTTTTGGGCTAATGGAACTTATGTGTTGGGATGTTTAAGTGAAGCAGAGCAGATTCCTTGTTCCATCCTCCTAATGGCACTCATTATACCCTTTGCACACCTGAACTCTGATATTTTTGTAATTCCCCATTACATCACATAGTTTATGGTGACTATTTTTTATTAATTAAAAGATGAGTTCTCTAGCTGCTACTATTTCTCAATTTATGTTAAGACTTTGTGCATGCTTCCAATTAGACAGCATGAGGTTTGCTTCTAGGATTAATTTTTCTGGGCATTGTTTCTCATATAGCTGAACCACCGGGCCATTATCTAATTGTTAGACCATAGTTACATAAATCGCTCAATAGCCCACGATCTACGTATTGTATGCTGCGATCCAAAACGCGGTACGAACACGTTCGGATCGTTTCAAAATCACGATTCGGTACATCGTAGTTCTGCAGCAGGGATAAGAGGAGATGCAATCAGAAAATAAAGGGATTGGGGGTTTGAGAGAGAGAAAAATCAGAGGAGAAGAAGAGGGAGAGAGGAAACCATTCGGGGAAACCAGAAAAAAACAGTGAGTTTTTAGGGGAAAATTGAAAGACAAAAAGGAAAAACAAAAGAGAAAAAGAAACAAAAACCGAAACTTACCTTAGGTGTTGTCATCGTGGCCTCACCGGAGCTGGAAGAGCCCATCATCGTTGTAGTAGACATTGATTCTCTCAAGTTGAAGAACTTGGTCTCCTTGGTAACGACCGGTTGGATCTATGTCGTGCTCGGCACAAACAACCTCCCAAAACTTGGCTCCGATTTGATTGCCGCACTGGCCACCTTGAATGTGAAGGATCTCACGCATTTTCGATTATGGAGAGAAGAGAAACCAGAAAGGATAAATGAAGGGATTTAGAGAGAGAGAGAGAGAGATGGCAAATAAGAGATGTAAATTTGAAAATGGAAGTGGGAAGAGCCTGGTTTTTATATAAAATATATTTCATTTAGTTTTGGTCTAATTTTGATTTTAGATCCTCTATTCTACTCAAATTTAGAGATTAATCCTTTTACTTTTTGATCCCTCTAAAATTCTATTTTAGTATAAAGTAATTTTATGTTAAAACTATATTTTATTAGATTGAATTTTGTTTTTTTTATAGAAGTTGTAGGTCTCATTAAAACTCCCTTTGTATTCGTCCACATACTAAGAAGTATGTTAACGAACATAGGAAGGAAGAAAAGAGTACCTCATATTTCATTGAATAAAACGCCTCATTACATATGAAAACACGAAATACCCTCAAACGAGGATAAATGCCATTACAAAAACATAATCACCTAAAGCTCTCACCTTCTCGACCACAAAATCAAGAGTAAATCACCCTATACCTAAGATAAACCTCCATCAATAGGAAAACAACCCAACATTTAATGACATAACATACATAAAAACAACACCTAAAACCATTAAACCAAAAACATCCGCCTCTGAAAGGAACTCCACAAAAATACCAACATGTATCAAAATCACCAAAAAAATCAGCTCGATAAATTATCTTTAATGAACCAAAACCACACTTCCTTCCCTTCAATCAATGTTTCCTTGTCACTTAATTCAGAACTCTTTTCTTTGTCTTGCATTTCTTCGCCACACGATTAGTTCTTAATTTCGCAGAGATAGGGGGCACCACTGGGGTATCTTCTTTTAATTGAAATGTGTCAATAGATGAACCATGAGAAGTAATGAGACCCATCATAAGAGCATCTTCCGAGGCCCTGAGGCTAACACCATCAGAATGATCAACTGATTTATTAGCTAGATGCTCCACGATATTTAATTTTGAATGATCCACAGCCTCCATTGTGTGAAACCCTAATTTGTTACTCGGTTTCTCGTCGCTTTTGACACTCTTTATGAGTGAAACCTTTTCTAAGTGGGGACCTTCAATTTTAAACCTGGGGATGACACTGACGATCCTGACAGAGAATTCTCCAACGTTGCCCCGAGAAAACAATTCAGATCTGGAGAATCATCGACTTTCTCAGGGATCCAAGAGTTTGGTTTGAAAGAAGGCTCAACTTCATGCACCATGATTTCAAAAGAATTAGAACCGACCTTTAAACTCAAGGACTTATCAATCCTCACTTTAGTCTCTGTGAGGATTTGAAGTTTAGCACGATCAAAAGATGAAGGAAACTGAAGCTTTCATCATTGATACTAATTTGCCCCACCTAGCCGCAATGTTCTTGAAAGTACCCCAATTCCACGCGTGAAAAAAAATCCCTTCGCAAACTACCCATACTCGACGGCATTCTACCACTAGACTCTCCGACCAAGCTTCAACTCTAGAAAACCACCCTACCAGAGTCTCTGATTGTTCATTCTTAACCCTTCTCAACGTATTAGAGTCCTCGAATATCATGAGAACCACATTCCCAGCAACTCTCATTAACGAGAAACCATTGAGTCTTTTGTCTTGCATTTGGCTAGCAAGATCACCGATTTTGGTATAGTTCTTGCACCACCCCATTAGGAAATAATTCCTAAGATCAGGGAATTAGATTAGTTGACTATTTACATAAGGCAAATTCCTAGAATTAAGAAAAAAAGATATTGTTCCTTGATTCTAGGAATTCCAACACTCCCCCTCAAGCTGGTGTATAGATGTTCATCAAACCCAGCTTGCTAGTGAGATCTTCAAACATGTTCTTGTTTAGGCTCTTGGTAAACAAGTCTGCAATTTGTTGTTTAGTTGGTACATAGGTTATGCATACTTCCCCTGATTCGATCTTTTCTTTGATAAAATGGCGATCTATTTCTACATGTTTGGTACAATCATGGTGAACCGAATTGTATGCTATGCTCACTGCTGCCTGATTGTCACAGTACAGTTTCATAGGTCTGGTGTGAGGCATTTTTAATTCCCTCATTAGTCGTTGTATCTAAATTCCCTATATACCATGTGACACATCTCGATATTCAGCTTCAGCACTACTGCGGGCTACAACAGATTGTTTTTTAATTCTCCACGTCACAAGGTTACCCCACACGTAACTGCAGTAACCACTTGTAGACCTTCTATCATTCACCGAACCTGCCCAATCAGCATCTGTGTAGATGTCTACATATCGGTTATTTGTTTTCTTGAAGTATAGGCCCTTACCCGGGGTTCCCTTCAAGTATCTCAACACCCTATGGACAGCCTCTAGATGTTTCTCTCTTGGGTTATGCATATATTGGCTGATAACACTGACACTGAAAGCAATGTCAGGACGAGTGTGGGATAGATAGATAAGTTTTCCCACAATTCTTTGATATCTCCCCTTGTCTACTTCCTCTCAATCTTCATTATTTCCAAGTTTCAAATTGAATTCCATCGGGGTCTCTGCAGGTCTGCAACCTAACATACCAGTATCCTTCAGTAAATGTAGAACATATTTTCGTTGAGAGATGGAGATACCTGTTTGAGACCTTGCTACTTCCATTTCAAGGAAGTATTTTAGATTTCCCAAGTCCTTAAGCTCAAATTCAGTGCTAAGGAACTCTTTTAGGCATCTGATTTCATTCGAATCATCTCCTGTTAGAATGATATCGTCAACATAGACTATAAGGATGGAGCATTTACCTTCCTTTGAATGTTTGTAGAACATAGTATGGTCAGCTTGTCCTTGGGTATATGCCCTGCTGGTCATAGCCTTGGCAAATCGACTAAACCAAGCTCTTGGGGACTGTTTCAACCCATATAGTGATTTCTTTAATCTGCATACCTGACCTTTTTCTTCTTCGAATCCTAGTGGAAAGTTCATATACACTTCCTCGGCCAATTCACCATTTAGGAAGGCGTTTTTAACATCCAACTGAGTCAAAGGGCAATCAAGATTTGCAGCAAGTGATAGAAGAACCCGAATAGTATTAAGTTTGGCAACAGGTGCAAAGGTCTCATCATAGTCGAGCCCATATGTCTGAGTGAATCCCTTTGCCACAAGTCGAGCCTTGTGCCTGTCAATAGTTCCATCAGTTTTGAATTTGGTGGTGAAAATCCATTTGCAGCCTACTGGTTTTTTTCCTTCAGACAGATCCGAGATTTCTCATGTTCCATTGTTTTTTAGAGCATTCATTTCTTCCATTACAACATGTTTCCATTTGGGCGATTCAAGAGCTTCCTTCACATCCCTTGAAATTTTTTACATGGTCAATATTTGTCATAAAGTTTTTGTATGACTTGGATAGATTTCCATAAGACATAAACCGAGAGATAGGGTGTTGGGTGCAGGTCCTTACACCTTTTCGAATAGCAATTGGGAGATCAATAGATGGAGAATCAGGGGTTACCTCTATTGTAGAACAGTCCACGGTTGTAGATGAATTTGGCACTGCTATGTCAGTTTTAGGAGAGTAATGATGCCTTGAATAAACCCGGAGTTCAGGAGCACAGAGTTGCTGAGTTTCAGGAGCAAGCTGTGGAGCAAGTTGTTGCTGTTTCTGCAGACTAGGATCATCATTGTGCTGTTGGGAAGGGGGTTGCTGTGAGGGGACTATGAGGATGTCATTAGGTGGCTGCAGTGAGGGGACTATGAGGATGTCATTTGTATGAAAATTTTGTGGTAGATTAGGATCGGGTGGTGGAGTAATAAGGAGGGTATTGAGGTTCTCATCTTCATTGAGAATCTCTCCCTGAAGATGAGTTGCTGAAAAATATGATTCTGTTTCAAAGAAGGTTACATCTCGGGAAACAAATGTACGATGCAAAGTAGGTGAGTAACATTTGTACCCTTTTTATGTAGGGGAGTAGCCAACAAAACACAAGTATGAGCATGAGAGTCAAGTTTAGCTAGGTTGGGTTGATGGTTATGGACAAATGCTTTACACCCAAATAATTTAATCGGTAAGGTAGGAACATGGAAAAGAGGGAAAGCTTTTTGAAGGGTATTTAGAGGTGTTTGAAATTTAAGGACTTTGGACTTTGAAATTTAAGAACAGCCTCTCCCAATAGGTATTTTGGGATATTTGTGGTAAACATTAGGGCTCGAGCAACATTTAATAGGTGCCGATTTTTCCTTTCCGAAATTCCATTTTGTTGGTGTGTCTGGACAGGAGCTTTGGTGTATGATGCCTTGTTCTACAAGGTAAGGACTTAAAATCGAGTTGAAGTACTCTCTTCCATTATCGATGCAGAGCGTTTGTATGGTGGAATTGAATTGGGTTTTAATCATTGAATGAAAATTTTGGAATACTTTGGGTGTTTCGGACTTTTCTTTGAGGAGATAAACCCAACAAACTCTAGTATGGTCATCAATAAATGTTATAAACCATCTAGCCCCCGTAATATTTTTCACTCGGCTAGCCCCCCATAGATCACTGTGTATTAAGGAGAAAGGTTTGGATTGGATGTAAGATTTTAATATATAAGGAACACGAGTATATTTTGAGAGTTGGCAGATTTCACACTTTAGGGAATTTGGATTTTTATTTCGAAATAACAGTAGAAATACATACTTCATGTACAAGAAGTTTGGGTGTCCTAGCCTTTGATGCCACAGCATAATTGTGTCCTCATGTGAAGCAGATAACTCCAAACTTCCTTTCTTATTGTCTTTATTCCATATGTAGCGTCTATCATCAACCTTAGCAGTGCCAATCATCTTCCCCGATTTATGTTCCTGTTCAACACAACCACGAGCAGAAAATTCAACAAGAGCAGCATTATCCTCAATTAGTTTACTAACTGACAGTAAATTGCAGGATAAACTTGGGACATGTAAGACTTTGTCAAGAGAGAGTTTTTCAGTGAGTTGAACTGCCCCAGTCCCAGCAACAGGCGAGTATGAACCATCAACTATTCGGATACGAGATTGATTGTGACAGGGGATGTAACTGTGGAACAGGGATGAGTTACCTGTCATGTGGTCGGAGGCACCTGAATCCAGGATCCAAGCGGATTGATTAGTTGAATCCAAAGTAATATTAAAAGCAGTACCTTGAATAGCCAAGGATCCATGAGCAGTAGGTGTTTCAAGTATCTTGTGTAGGGCTTCGAGTTGAGATTTGGTTAGGCGGACATCGGAGGTATTTTCTGTAGAGGATGAAGTGTTGGATGATACAAGGGTTGAGGTTTTAGATTCGAAAAGATTTTCTGGTTGTTCTGCCATAGGAAGAAAACAACGCAAGAACAATTTCTAGAGGAAGAGCAAAATAGGATCGAATGAGTCCTACAGCTCTGATGCCATGAACAAATGTGAGAAGAAATGAAATTCTTACTTTATTGCTCTAAACGTAAATTACAATTTATAAGGAAGAACTACTCTAAGTTAGGAAATAATTCCTAAGATCAGGGAATTAGATTAGTTGACTATTTACATAAGGCAAACTCCTAGAATTAAGAGAAAAAGATATTGTTCCTTGATTCTAGGAATTCCAACACTCACAAACTTTTTGTCTGCTTTTCACTTTCATTATTTTCTTTTCATAGTTTCAATCTTGAATTATAGTGTTATGCATATTTGTGGCCATTAGTCCCAATAGATTTGAATAATCTTTGTTGCCACATGTTACTGATCTCAAAAGTTTACCGAATTTCCATGACCATCTTGTGGTCTAGCCTGATGATTTCGATTAAGTCCTAATGGCCGTGAGTGCCTTTAAATCAGGATCAGTGGACTGCTTGCAAACTTTTGATATCTGCTTTTCATTTCCATTTTCTTTAATAGTTACAATCTTGAACTATAAAAGTATGCATGTCCGTCGAGCTATTTTAGTAGCTTGATGGTTATGAACGGGGTTTTTAATGAGACCTCCCATTTTTATCAAAAAAAAACTATAGAAGTATGCATAGTTGTGGAACTTCTTCAACTTATAACAATTTGGAAGAATTAGGTGTTAGTTATGTCTTTAATTGTGCATCTTAAGTTTTAGTAGCCGCAAGAAGATTTTGGAACTCTATGTTTTTTCTCTGTTACTAATATAATCCTTTATAATGTCCCTATTGCTAAATTGATCTCTCCATTTTTGTATTACCTAGGCCGTATCTTGCTGTGGAAATGAACAGAGTGAATGGCGTCCAGCTGAGGCTGCTTTATTTTGCATTCGAGCTATATCAAGTTATGTGTCGGTTGTTGAAACAAACATAATGCCTCAGGTATGAATATATTTGGCTTCTATTATAGTTGTATTGTTTTGTTTAAATCTTATGTAAGATTATATTATCAATAAAGTTCTTAAGGCACTCTTTTCCTCCTTCCGCTGATTAAGGAACTTATCACTAAGTTCCTTTAATCAAGAAGGGGGTTTTTAGCGAGGCCTTCCATTCTTATCAAAAAAAAAAATAGTTGTATTGTTTTGTGTTGTAGTTCGGGCCAAGTTTAGGCTTTAAGTCTTTATTGGTGTTGTTATATTGGTTAACTGGTCAGCCAAATTAGAGGTTGTTGTTGTAGCTAAGATGGATTTGGCTGAGTTAGTGTCGTTGTATAGGGTTGTTTTCGGTTGTTTTTGGTTTTCTGTTTATGTTGGGGGTGGCTCTCTGGATGTATCTTATGTAATTTTTATGTTTAATGAAATCTTAAGGCACTCTTTTCCTCCTTCCGCTGATTACGAAGCTTCTCTACAAGCTCCTTTAATCAAGAAGGGGGTTTTTAACGAGGCCTTCAATTCCTATAAAAAAAACATTATTTTCCCATTTATATGCTTTCAGATAAGCATCTGCAGTATTAAGTGAGTTCACCTCAGATACCAAGTACACTTGTATGTATAATTTGTTTTTATGTTAATCGTGTAACTGTTTGAATTTTATTGTCAGTTTTTATTTGCAAGTATGTTTTGAAATCTTATGTTAATAATCCATAGAATACACATTGTTCATCCATAGAATACACATTGTTCGTGATTGGTTTTATAGGTTATGGATCTGCTTCCGAAACTGCCTCATCAGCCGCAGCTACTCCAAACGGGTAACTTATCACTTCATAATGTGTTAATTCTGCTTCCTTTCAAAGGCAGTATGTATCTTCCATGGCCCAAATGTCTGCTGTCATCTGGCCTGCCATGGAGATCACTACTATAAAGATTTCAAAGTAGCGTTTTTACTAATTTTAGATATTACAGTTATCGGAATTTATCTTCAATAATCACTAGTTATTTTTGTATGTACAAATTCAGTTTGCTTAATAATTGGAGCATTTTCTAAGTGGCTTGATGCTGCACCAAGTGGTTTCTCTAAGTTGCCTTTAGTGATTGATATTCTCACGAGTGGGATGCGTACCTCTGAAGATTCCGCTGCAGCTGCTGCTTTGGCATTTAGACACATCTGTGATGGTATAGTTTCTTTCATTAACTATTCTACTGCTTTCTTTATCTACCTTCTGAAAATTTATGGTATTCATCCCAGGACAAATGGGTGTAAAAGGGTGTTCATGCTTGTAAATTGTTATAACAAGACTGACATTCTAGGTGCTTTGTTTTACTTTCATATAGCATGTCATATATCTTTGTTTTTATATTGATTTTTGATCAAACTTAAAAAGAGGATTGTTCCTAAAATGAGAAACAATCCCTAAAAATCAGTAACTTCCTAAGAATTAGATACTAAGATTAGATCTTACTATACAAGGTAACTCCTAGGACTAAGGTAAGTATTCTGTCCTTAATCTTAGGAATTCTAACAATTTTACTAATAGAAAACACGAATGGAAAGTAAGATTTGGATTGACTGTTCCAAATCTTTTCAATTTATATTTGACGGAGATTCATGAACTTATCATGTGAGATTTTGTATAATTGAACCCCCCTCCTCCTGAGAAGAAAAAAAAGGTAAACTAAGAAAAGGAGCACAAAACATGGAGGAACCTTGCTTTCTGCATTGTACATATGCAACCTTCTCCAATAGTTCCTCATATACCCTTGGAGTTGATCAATTTTTCATATAGAACCTGCCTGAATTCATTCATAGCTGGATGGTGAAAATGTTTTGCTTTATTATTCTATTTGAAAGTTTTAACTGTGGATTTAAATTGTTCTTGTTGAATGCAGATTGCCGTAAAAAGCTTTCTACATATTGTAAAGAGCTTTTCCATATATACTATACCGCATTAATGGTGAAGGTGGTTTTAAGGGCTCTGCTGAAGATTCATTACACTTAGTTGAAGCTTTGAGGTGTGCTTCTTACTCGGCAACTTTAGGGGCTAAAACATGGATAGTGACTTATAATCTTACGTTGGTCTTGGTATATTAATGGCTGTTAAATTGTTTCCTCAACATGGTTATTACTGAACTGCCATCAGAGCCTGCTAAGGCTGCTTTGGAGGAACTATGCGCATCAGTTGTTACTCCTTTACAGGTTAGCTTGTCCCTTTCGGTTTAATGTCTTGATACTTTTTTTTTGTTTACAGTGGGCCATTTTCTATGATATGTTACCAGGCAGTTATTAACCAAGGTCCAGAAGTTTTAGATAAGAAACATGCTCGTGAATTAACAGTTCACATAGATCGATTTGCATATATCTTCCGTTAAGATCAATGCGTCCCCCCCGTCTTCCCTCATTTATTCGTTTGCTCATCACACAACTTGAACCAATTCTAGGTATGTAAATCATCCTGAAGCAGTTGCTGATTCAGTTCACAGGCTTTGGCCAATATTCAAAGCCATATTTGATCTGTGAGTATTGACCAACTTCCTAAACGTGTAGTCACCATGTCAGTGTTTATAGGTTTCCAACTTTTACCTGATTAGTTTAAATGCTTCTGACGCAGTCGTGCTTGGGACATGAGGACCATGGAGTCTCTTTGCCGTGCTTGCAAATATGCTGTGAGTCTAAGGATAAGTTGTTCAGAAAAATGGATTTTCAAAACTGATTTAGAAATCTGATTGTCAAACATTCTACTGAACATGGATAAATATTTGGCATTCTCCAATGAAATGCATGTCTATGCCTTACATCTCTGGCTGCTGGAATTGCATTAACTGATTGCAATGGTAATATTATCCGAAAGAATTTTCGTTATATACTTCTCATATAATAATTTTGCTTAATTAGTTTGTTCGATAATGGAATGTAGTACGCCTCAAACATTGTACTTAAACGAGCGGTTTACTTTGGAAAAGGAAAGAAAGGAGAAGGATATGAATTACTTGTTAGCGGTTACCTGTTTGAAAATTTTCAGCATTATTAGGCAGCTATAATGATCAAAACTTTTTTATTAGGTGAGAACTTCTGAAAGGTTTATGGGAACAGCAATTGGAGCAATGCTTGAAGAAATCCAAGGCCTGTATCAACAACAACACCAGCCGTGCTTCCTTTATCTCTCTAGTGAAGTTATAAAGGTACGCTTTTCCCTCGTCAATTTAGCTAATTTTAACTTTATATTTGTTTCGGTTAAGAATTAAGATGCTAAGAAGCCAGCTCCACTTGTGCTGTAGATATTTGGCTCTGATCCTTCTTGTGCAAGCTACCTAAAAAATATGATTGAAGTGCTCTTCAAGCACACAACGTCTCTTCTCACGAGTATTAAGGTATGGTTTTATTAAACGATGGATTTTTTCCTTTTATTTAAAATTGTCAATATGTTATTTAAAAAAAGTTTGTCAATATGTTGACTTTCATTTATCGTTTTGCTGCAGGAATTCACTACAAGACCAGACATCGCAGATGATTGTTTTCTACTGGCATCAAGATGCATTCGTTATTGTCCTCAATTATTTATCCCTTCTGCAGTATTTCCGGCTTTAATAGATTGTGCGATGACTGGGATCACAGTACAGCACAGGTATAATCTCTTTCTCGCTGCCTGTATTCATTATACGAGCTTGTTTGTCGGTTTGTCCATGTTATACATCTGTGGCTGTGCACGCACATGCGTGTACAAACACAAGCAATACATCCTTCTTGTAGGGGATCGGGTTAACTTTTCGATACATTTATCGTTTAGAATTTTATTGTCTCCATATTTTATTTGCAGAGAGGCCTCCTATTCCGTTTTAACCTTCCTGTCTGATATCTTTGATCTCGCAAAGTCTAGCAAGGGAGAACAATATTTATCTATCAGGGATAGTCTCATTATTCCGCGAGGTGCTACCATTACTAGAATATTGGTGGCCGCCCTAACAGGAGCACTGCCGAATTCTCGATTAGAAAAGGTAGTTGTTACATTGATGATTGGTAGAATAATGTAATTGCCTTAAATTATATTTCGTGATCGATTTCATGGAGTCCTTTCGCTGCTCCAGGTAGCATATGCACTTCTAGCTTTAACTCGAGCTTACGGCATGCAAGCTCTAGAATGGGCTAGGAAAAGTGTGTCATTGATCCCATTGACTGCTGTCAAGGACGTGGAGCGCTCGAGATTTTTGCAAGCATTGTCAGAGGCAACATCCGGGGCCGATGTGAATATCGTGATGCTCCCAATCGAAGAGTTATCTGATGTTTGTCGTCGTAATCGAACAGTTCAAGAGATTGTTCAGGGAGCGTTGAAGCCACTCGAGTTGAATCTTGTACCTGTACTATAGTTTGAATATTGGAGGGGGCTGTTTTGCTTGGGCCTCACATCTTGTTTATCAGGCAAACTGGATTTTACTGGAAACCGGCATTTTTTGGTTTTCATTTGTTCATTTTTGTGTCGATCGTCAATCGCCGGATTCCGACCTGTTTTTAAGGTTCGGAATCGGCATTTCCGTTTACACCGTGGAGTGAATGTGTTATTTGTTGTGTCTGTTTTTTGGTTGAAGATTTGTGGAGTTTTGAGTTGTCTTTGATGGCATTGGCTTTCTATTTTTGAGGGTGAAATTCTTGGTATACGGTGTTGGTTTGTAACGGGGAGCAATACAAGAATGAAGATGTATTGTTTTTTTCTTGGGACTTCAAAAATTCCTATATTATTTTTTATTTAAATAAATATTAGAAATTTAATCTTTAAAATATTTTAATATTATTTTTATTAAAGTAATTATTATTCTTTTCAATTAAATATATAATTTTGTTTAGTGATTTAATATTATATCTTCAAGTAAGGTCTCAAGTGTAAAAAAACCATGCATCAATTCTCCAATTACGCGTTCGACATTGAATTTAATAGTGAAAGAAATAATTCAAAGATTAATATGGAATGGACTAAAATGAGTTGTTAAATTCAAAGATTAATGTGGACATTTTAAGGACTGAGTTGAAAAATATATCAAATTCAAGGAGTAGAAGTTGTTTTATCCCTTTGATTTATTTAACTGTTGACCTTCGAACGATATCAAAGCAAAAAGATTGAAGCGGAGAAGCGAAGCAATTTCTTCCAAAGTGAGCAAGATCTCTACCATGGCGCCCATAAAGGCGATAGGCAAGTAGATCTATCTGATTACTCTTACATGTAACTCGATTCTCTTCTATATTCTCTCTTTCCATTAACAATCTCTCCATTTAAACACAGATATCGCCGTTTTCACAGGTAACTCTTTCACACATTTCATCGAATAGGTCATGCTCGATTCCTCTCCTTGGCTTCAATTAATCTTTTTTCCTTTATTTTGTGGTCTGGGTTTCTTATTCTCCGCTTGGATTATCGTTTTTTAGTTGTTGTTGTACATAGATGGCATGTTTAAAGGCATTTATAATGGCAAGCAACATCACGTTTCTGATATTGCTACTGTTTTGGGTGGAGCTTGGAATGCTGGCGTCGATCGAATTATCGTCAGTTACTCTCCCTCTTGTATTATTTTTGCATTTAACTCTGTTTATTTATTTATTATAATAATTCAGTTTCATAGGAAGCTTTAGTTTTTTTTTAGTGAACTCGTGGACCTGGATAAATCTGAGTCCAATTTTCCATTTCTTTATGGAATTACCGAATAGTATGTTAATCTTATGAGCCCGGGATGAAAGTATTTGCTTTGAAGCTTTTGAAAATAATTGACATAATAACCAAATTATTTTAATTTTTATTTTTTTAGAAGTATTTTCATTCTCGGGGATGAAAGTATTTTTTTGGAAGTATTTTTATCTTCAATGTGTTTGAATAATGACGGAGTATATGTCATTTCATCACTTTAACTGACATTATACATATCATATCATCATCTTAGATGATATAAGATGTCACATTATCATTTTGGATGATATGACATATGTCATGTCTTCACCTTAAATGACATGACACATATCATGTCATCATCACTTTTGTGCACATATCACATCATCATTTCGGGTAATATGATATATGACACATTAGTAATTTAACATATATAGAAATGTCGTGTTAACATGCTTTAACTGTTAGTAAATTAGTGGTTTTTATCCAACATGGATCATTTTGATAAAAAAATTGAAACGTTGAGAGTTAAAGTGTTCTAAAAAAAAGAATAAGAACTAAAATGATCTCATTCGAACAAACGTTGAGAATTAATTTTGACATTATACGTATAATTTTCTTGCATATATAAAATCATAATGAGTTTTAATTTTTGATATTGCTATGGATGCATAATCATGTTAATAGGTTTGTTGTTACGGGTGGTTCCCATGAGGAGTCGAAGGAAGCTCTTGCCATTGCAGAAACCGATGGTCATTTCATCGTGCTTTATTTATTGCCACATCTGCCTTGGCATTGCTGTTGCTTTAGAATGTTTTCTTTTGGTTATTGTCTGAAGTGTGGTATTCAAAGAGGCTTTATTTACGGGTGGTTCCCATGAGGAGTCGAATGTTTTCTTTATTTATTGTTAATCATGTTAATAAGAACTAAAATGTTTTCTTTGTCATGCCTTGGCATTGCTATGGTCATTTCATCACAGGGAGGCTTTTCTGCACAGTTGGTGTGCACCCGACTCTATGCAATGTTAGTTCGTTTCTTGAAATTTGTTGTCTTTGGGGCTTTTGTTTGATTTTTCTTTTATTTAGGAGTTTGAAGAGAGCGGGGATCCTGAAAAACATTTTCAAGATCTTTTGGCATTGGCTAAGGAGGGAATTCAAAGAGGAAAGGTACCTATTCTTTTAAGAGAAAGTAAAATGCCTTATAATATACGATTTTGATCAAATTTTTTTCGATTTGTCAAAATGACCAACAAAATCGCAATGCGATCTCCAGTATCGTAAATCAGTTTCCAGATTCGTAACGTAATTTAGACTATCGCATTGCGATTTTTCAAATTCGCGTTGCGATTTTAGAAAATCGCAATGCGAATATGTAAATCGTAACACGATTCTGACTATCGCAACGCGATAATATAAAATCGCAACGCGATTCTGACTATCGCAATGCGATAATACAAAATCACAATGCGATTTTTCAAATTTATGTTAGTCCAAATTCGTTGCGATAGTCCAAGTTCGCGTTGCGATTTTAGAAAATCGCAACGACTGGTGGTATTGCATTTGTTTCTTAAGAATTTTCTTTAAAAAGATAGTATCCGCGTGGACGTGTCGAAGACACGTATTACAACGACCACGACCCGAGACAAGACGGGACGAGACTGCCGCGGCGGCGGTGCGCGAGAGTCCCCCTTGTTCTCTTCTACTCAACAAGGAAGTGAGAAATCCAAGCCTTAAATACTCATTCTCAATAGTGTTTCCAATATTATGTGGGATTGAGCATTGCAAACACTTGGGAATCTTTTACACTATCGCAACACATTCTTTATTATTTCAAACTAAGATCTTACAAATGGCTTGGGAATCTTTTACACTATCGCAACACATTTTTTATTGTTTCAAACTCCACGTGAATTTAGAATAGTTAAAATGTAAACTTATTTTGGATTTTTCACTATCGCAACACTTTTTCACTATCGCAACAAAACGTTTTTCAAACGCTCGCAACACATTTTAACTATTGCAACACATTTTAACTATCACAACACATTTTTCAAAATCGCGTTGCGAATTTGAAAACTGAGTTGAAAAATTAGAGTTCGCGTTGCGATTTTGTTGGTCATTTTGACAAATCCAAAAAAAGTCGATTAAAATCGTATATTATAAGGTATTTTCGGTCACTGAGGTTATTTTATCTTCTTTTAATTGCACCTTAGACGAATAAGATTATGGTTTAGAGTTTATAATTTAGGGTTTTAAGTTAGGGGTAAGGTATAGAATGATATAATTGAGCAACTTCGAGAGTTTAATTGATGCAAAAATACGATAGGAGTGAAAATGATAAATTGGTCTACTCCAGCGTTTATCACTGAATTACCTCCACCCCTATTCATGTCAAGTGAGTTAAAGATCTCCAAACTTCGGTTATCAATTCATCCAATAACTATTAGCGATAATTGACGTAGCACGTTAAAAAATTTAAATACTACCTCTGTTTTATGGAAAATACTTTTATTACTTTTTTAAAAGTTGAAATTTTTAAACTTTAACCATTATTAATTTAAATCTTTTAAAAAAATAAATTTTGTTAAATACATATTTTAGAACTACTTGATTAAAGATTTCTAAAATATATATATATTTTTTATTTTTATCAATAATTGATTTTAAATAATGAGTCAAAGTTCAAAAAAATTGATCCAATAAAAATCAATAAAGGACATTTTAAATGGGACATAATAACCATCACTTTATTTTTTTTAAAATCGTTTATGTTGTCTCGATATTTTTTCGATCAAAAAGATCACTAAATTACAATATATCTTCCCTTTTTCTCGATTCAAACTCGTAAAAAAATCTTTTAAACTCTTCAAATCACAATTGAAACTAAAAGCAAAAAATATTACGGTACATCTCTGTCATCAGTTTGAAATCGAACAATGTTAATCTTCTGATTCGAAAACAAAACGTTTTTTACTATTGAAATCAACCAACAACAATTTCGTTCATCGAAATCGTGACTTTTTGTGGTGGCTAACAATTTGGGATCATAGGATTTTATTGGAGAAGAAAACTTTAAGATGCCACATCAATTTATATTTTAAATTCAAAATTCATTCATCAAAGAAGAAAATTCAAAATCCAAGCATAATAGAGGGACCGAAACTGAAATTATACCATTTTTCTTTGTAATGACCAAAAAAAGGGAAGGGAGCTTATAATCAACCATAACCTAAGGGTTAAACTAGCATCAAGCTCAACAACAAAGTTGTAATCAACCAGATACATGGGAGCTAACAACCAGAGCATTATGTTTGCTGGTTAAATCGATTCCATAACTGATGCTAACATTGTAAGCTTGTAAGAACTAATTGCTTACCGAATGCAACTGCGAAGACTACAACTCCGGCCCTGGGGATCGGGATTTCGGCCTCGAGTAGCCAAGGGTAAGTAGCTTCTCTATCAACTTCTTTTCAGCATTTGCCTGAGAAGAAAAACTATACGAATGAGAGATTACAAGGTGAGCCATACCGGAAAAACTTATGATCCTAGAAGATAATGCCGAGACGGGCACGATCGTCTCGGATGCATTCCCATTGAGTCCTCTGTCACTAGAGGACATCAGCCACCAAATCGATCAAAGCAAACGATTTGGTGCATAGGGCCAGACTCAAACTAAAATTCAAATATCAATAAATGTTTGCTTGAATCAAAGTACAAATATCAAAACCAAACCTCAAGCATGGGGTTATTCTTTGGGATATTGCAAGCCAAGATTATATTAAGCCCAGTCTTTAGCACTGCAAACAAATCAATTTGCTTTTAGTTCAAGCCAGAAAGAGGGGGCGATCTAATTATAATTTTAGACCCTTTATTATATTGGAATTTAGGATTTAATCCTTCCACTTTAATTTGACATAATTTGATGTTTTAGTTATGTTATTAATAGATCCAAATTGATAACATTTATTAGCAGTTCGCGGTGCTATCAATTTAATATCGAAATTTTAGCACAGTGGAAGGACTAAAACCGTAATTAGACCAAAAAAAGTATACAAAATTTTGGGAAATTTTGAAGAAAACTGACCTAATCGTCGAGCAATTCCAGAACCAGTATTATCTGAAGCACCTCCAATAATTGAAGTCACGCTCACCGAATTATTCTATTCATAATCATGAATCTTTGTTTTTATTTTAGCAACAATACCAGATCTATCATAATCGATGATAACAGAGTAATGCATCGAAGAGAAAAATGAAACTAACAGGTCGTGTAGGAGCAGCGGCGTATAAATTCCCCAGTTTAGCAGAGTCAGAGCCGATCCACACGTATATCTATCAATTAATTAAACAATAAATATGCAAATTCCGAGAGATTTGAGTTAAATAAGTGAAGAAATAGGAATACCTGCTTGGCGAGGCGAATGATCTGAAAGTGGAGGGTCACTTCATCGATGAGCTCCGTAAAGGTTGTCACCTGCACGCCGCCAGCTGCTTCCGATGCGGCTTCAAATCCCGATGCTTTACCAAAAGAAGAAGAAGGAGAAGTCATGTCTTCGTCTTCCTTCCGTTCCGGTGTACGATTTAGCCTTTTAACTCACTCACTGAGTCTAAAAAGTATTCTTTGGTTTTACTTCTGCTAGGTTGGATTTCAAGGAGTTCTTAGACCCAGAAGAGAAACGCGGTAAAAAGTAAAAGTCGTAATTTTATGGGTTAATTGCAACAAACACCCCTAAACTATGACTAAATTTAAAATTAATCCCCAAACTTCATTTAAATGGAACCTCAAGGCATCAATATGGGATCTAAGTCCTTCATTAACTTAATCATCGACTTGGGCGTTAAATGATAGCTTGAATATATTATTCATGTATTTAAAATACATGAATAAAACTTTAAACACATTTTATATCTATCTTCGTTAACTTAATAAACGAGCTTTTAAATAAATTTGTTCGTGAATATAAACAAACCAAACACACATATGTTCATGTTCGTTTATTAGACGAACATAAAATTATGTTCATACTTATTTATTTAACTTATTAAAAGAATATTATAAGAACGATTCATAAACAATCTGCCGAATGCTCTGTTCATTTCCGCCCTACATTTAACACAAAGTGACCTTACAAAGCAGAAACAGTTGTAGGGATTTTGATTTGCTGTAAATGGAAAAGGAAACATAGATCACACCATATACAATGTTTATATGGTTATATTATTAAGTAAGTAAGTGCTCCCAACACAAAGGCAAATGCATGAAAATTTGTCCAAAAATCAAGCTTTTGAACTCCTCCTATATCTCCCATGCTACCTGCAGCTAGAAAAGCAAGCAATTAAAGGACTAATTTAGTGGTTTTTAAAAAAATAAAAGGACTAAAACAAGCATTTATGTTTAGTTGGTAGTTGAGTTCCTTACCACACTCTCTGGTAGAATTCATGGAGGTAGAGCAGAGGCACATCATGACTCCGGTCTCGGTGTCGTAGCCGCAAGTACCGCCGGACCTCGTGCACCGATCGCATCCGGTGTCCGGCATCGAGTACGACAATTTAATCCCGTAAACCCAATCCAACGGTCCAATACCCTTCAAGCTATCAGCATTGATGACACTAGTATAATGCGTGCAGTCCAAGATGTTCATGCTCATATACTTCACCGTGTCGTATCCGGTGAAACAACACGGCGGGGAGCTATTCGTCGACGAATGGAAGATCCTGAAGGCGTTGCACGCGCCGTAGAGCTCGTCGCACGAATGTCCGGCGAAGTCGAAGCAGAGATTCTTGTAGTGGTTTAGCACCGGAGAGTCGATGGAACAGTTCAGGAGCGCGAAAACGGTGTCGGATGTCGGAGGGATGATGACCGATTGAACGTCCGACATGGCGAAATCATGGTGGGGTTGAAGAATGGCGCATGTCGACATGGCGGGGTCGTATACCACCATCGTTTTCTTCTCGTAATCGATCGACTCGACCTTGTACCGACCCGATGGTGTTACGAAGAACAGGTCGTTGGTGCAGTTCAGCATCTGGCGGTACTGCGGGGCGCCGCATCCGTCGTCGACGCCGAAAGGGTATTTTATAGCAACGCCGCCGCATACGGTTCGACAAAGGGTGACGCTATAGACAGGTAGGAACCGAAAAATGAATACCAATGCTACAAAGAACTGCATTTTTTTTTGTTTACAGTTGAGATTATACCTAAATGAAACTGAGCTTGCTGTGTTGGTAATGGCCGTATGAAAAGGAAGAACGAGGATACCGAGATTTTTGGTGTAAAAGTGAGGTTAACTTTTTGACTGATAGGGTCGATGTGGGATCCATAAGTTTGAAAAAGGAATGGAAATGATAATTTGAATTGCAGGAAGCATTATTATTATTATTATGAAATGGCTCTTGGCCCTATGTTTTATGTTGTTTACAGTGCTTTTATGAGTGGAGCCATTACCTGGCATCCAATTTGGGTTCTATCATCGAGGATGCCCTGCGTTTTTCTTACATGTCTACAGACTTGCAATTTTCTAGCACCATCAGCATTAGTTTTTCACCATCCTATGGCTGAGGATGTCAGTAGGCTGTTAATATTCTGTCACTACAAACCAAAATATTTAGAAATGATGGTCCATGCATTATCATCTTGTGAACTATATATAGAGATCAGCTCGGACTATATAAGCAGACTTTACGGTGACGATATTGTCCGTAGACCATCGAACGAACCAACACAAAGCTAGAACAAGATGCATCCGGCCGCGGCATGACCTCAACCAACGGACCTGCAGCATGACAATCGATTACGAACTTTCTGCACAAGGTATTGATATGTGGCTCGAGATACTCTCTTGTGTAGCAGCGGCACGCCCAAGTATTTTCCTAAATCATCCATTTCAACGAAACCAAATGTACAACTTATGCACTGTGGAATATGAAGTGGTACATTTATGTTCGATTTCGCCGGGCGGAGGCCGGATTTGGGGTCACAGCTCTTTCTTGCATGGGCTGGATGGTATGCATCTTCACAACTTTGTATCTTTATATTTCATATTGTTCACTAAAGCTTTCTACGGACATGCAGGCTATGCATATGAAAACTGGGTAGTCATTAAGGTAACCGAGTTGTCCTGTTTACTCCACAAGTTTCTTTTTCCTCGAAACACATATTGATGGATTACGACTAATTGCGATAATTAACAGGACATGCTGAAGGTTCCATTGCTCTATATAGTCGGAGCTTTTATTCCGGCAACAATGATTGCTGTCTTATATTATTTTGATGAGACGATATTTGATGTCGAGAAGGAAACCAATGATCTGCTTCCCATCCAGGCAAAAGAACAGCGGCTCAGTAACTTGCTTCATGCTACAATGGTTGCAGGATGTGTTGCGGCAATGCTTTGGGGCTACTTTGCATTCAAGGCCATCGAGAGCTTGCCCGGAAACCAGTTTTCGGGGCGGATATTGTTGCTCTTCATGGCGCCGAGTAGAAGATACAAGTAACCTCTTAAAAAGTTCATTTGCTTCATCATCTTGTTCGAGTCACATTTATTTAGCATGTTCATGTACTTACTAGAGGAGTAACATGCCACATTTATGGAAACCGTACCTTTCAAGACAATTGCTGTGTTTACGACATTCCAGACAACATACTTGCTTGTTTGTTTTGGGATTACTCGGGTTCCGATTGCCGGGGTTCTTTGTTGAAGGAAAACAAATAGAGTAGGTGGTGGACGACAGCAGAATTAACACACACAGGTGCATCCAAACTCTGTGGTCCATAAACCCTGATTCACACCAATAGCTTCACGTCTCCTTCCACATGGCAAGACGAAGAGAAGGCACGTGTCATCTTGGACTTCACGAGTGGAGAGTAAGGACTAATCATCATCTTAAAATTTATTCTGGGTGGAACTTGTCCCATATTCTTAATATATTATGTTGGAGCATTAACACGTGTTTATTGTTGTAAATATGTTATTCATTTACAAATACGATACAATACAAGAATACTTCTTCGCCTTGCATAAATAAACATGTTTGAAAATAGCAACTGCAAGTTGCCCTACCCGGACCCTGCACTATCATATAGATTGATCTCTGTGCAGTGTACACCACCACTCACTCACATGCTTAACCATCTCAATCCTTCGCCTGCTTACCTCCCGCCTCCGATGGTATCGGTTAGAAAATTCTCATAGCCACACCACTCATTCTGGATATGAATACTTCTCGACCTACCACCGGAGTTAGCATCGGAATAGAGTTCATAATGCAGAGTACATCAACTCAAATCGAAACCAGCATCTGCATTTATGGCGTATAGCAATTTGGTTTCCAGTTGCTCTTTGCTGCACCATAACCACATCATATTGTAATGAAAAGGTTCAGCAAAATGTCAATTAAAGAAAAAATAACAAGTGACTACAGTTATGATTTGGTGTAGAAGAGTGTGACTACAGTTATGATCAGGTCGGAATTCTTTTATGAAATTCGGATTTCGGGTCGGGTAAAAATAAATTAACTGACCCTATTTCCATATGTAATGGGGTGAGGGGGAGGTAGGGTGGTAGGTTGCCCCCAACGCCAGATTGAGCGCAGCTTCCGTGAAAGACCTCCGGCAGTTAGAATTATGAATTGTCCACCGTGAGACTCGATCCCACGACCACAAGGTTAAGAGCCTTACGCTCTACTAAATGAGCTGGACATGTAAAATCTTAAAATTGGTCAGGTCAACTCACGTCCTACCCGTCCAGGAATAATCGCAAAAATACCTTCTTATATATTTATATATCATTAGTTAGGTTTCGATAAAACTATATGTAAAAAAAATTGCATGCAAGGTACTAGAATTATGATATTAAATTAAATTTTACTTTGATTTCATGTCATCAAATTGAATAAATTAGTATTTCATTCAATTATTTTTCTATTTTGACAAAACTTATGTGAAATTGCAAATTATGTTAAATCGGGTCGGGTTTCCAATTAAATTTTGGGCCGGGTTCACAGCGGGTAAATTATATTTAAACTCGGGTTAGAGTCGGGTTTTATTGGGGTCATATTAGGTCGGATTCAGGTCGGCCAAAAACCCATCCCATTGCCATCCTTAGCCACCACCACTTTCATGCCAACAATTCAAAAACAACTTCTATCAAAGTCATATTCTATGGTAAGCTACTACTAGAGAGAGAGAAAACCTTCTATATGGCGGAAGCTTTAGAAGGTTCATACAAGTCGCCGATGTTGGTAATCGGTCCAATGCTTCTTCAGAAGCACTGCCACCAGCTCTGCAAAATGAGTTGATAGTAAAATCTTTAATTTGGATACAGAAATGAAGAAGAAGAAGAAGAATGCATAGTGTATTTGGTACAATGAATACCTTTGTATGCAAAATAAAGGTTCAAGATATTTGAATCCCAGCAACGGGCCTCGGGAACAACCAGTCACGAACCTAAAAAGAACCTCGTTAAATTATTATTTTCCCTCGTGTACGTAATCCCCGGAGGCGAATAATTAAAGTAGCCATTATAGGAGGACAAACATCACACAAGATCAAAGGTGATGCAACTCACTTCAAAAATCTCTTTTGGTTTTCCAGTGAAAAGCTTTTGAGAACTTCCCAAAACATTTCTATGACATAGTGCTCCTGTCAAGCAAAGAAGTGAAAATAAGCTCTGAAAGCAAATACAAAGAGCTGGTTCTTGATAAATATGACAGATATGTTAACAAGTTAATTCGGTAACAATTCGCATTCCCGTCATTTCAACTGGAACAAAACTAGGAAAAGTCAAAGCACGGTTGGACTTTGGTATGTAATATGTAATAACCATTCTAATCCATCAGGGAAATAAGGAGAGCAGTAAAAAACTTACACCATGGTAGCCACCTGCATAATTAGTATTGTGTCGTAGGTCATCAACATCCAAGCTGTCAAGTGAACCTGATATCAGAAGCTGCAAAGAAAAAAAAACATTACGGGGATTTAAGAGAATCTCAAAAATTATATTTAGCAGATGCTCTCAACTGATGAAATTTTTAATTCGAAAGATAAGCAGATGTTTCAGCCGGGGTGAATGCCGTAATTGTTTCATTGTCTTAAATCATCACAGAAAAGATGTTAGGAACTTAAGAGGTTCACACACATAAAGTATAATTGATAGGAAACTTGAACAATGCTAAAGGAATTTATGCATGGCAATCACAAATCTTCGGAAAAGTTTCTATTCACAGAGAGAACAATTTGAAGGTTCTTTAACTTTTCGAAGTCGAAAGGAATCTGGCAAACTCCATCAATCATGTTTAGATAGGTAGTCGTAAAGTACTATTGTCGGCAAAGTGAGTACAGCTTGCAAATTTTAAAAGTAGGCTACAATACCTGCAATTCTTGTTCATTAAACATATCAATCCACTCTCTCCGTATAAGTTGCTGAAATCCCTAAGGAAATGTGTACTTTGTTGTCGTATCTGCAATGACACCACTTCATAGTGCCATTATCATGCAATATATAAGACAAGTGCATTAAGTTACTCAGAAATGAAGTACCTTACTACCTGAAAATTCAAACGGTGGTTAGATACAAGGTGAATAAATGTGATAACATTATCATTAGTAACACGTATGTTTTTGCCTCCCGGAAGCAGCTCTTCTTCTGTCTGCTCTCCATATTCATTATTCACAATCACAAAGTAGAGCTCCAACTCTGAAATGTCCCCTTTATAATGCTGAAAGTCATGGAAAAGGTAGGGATTAGAATGCTAGAGCCATACATGTAGGCCACGTCAAAGTGTGCCTATGCAATTAATATTTCCTTAAAAGTATGAATGCAAGAGATATGAAAGGAAAAAGGTCGAGAAAAATAACCTTCAAGAAAATAAGGTGACGGTATAACTCAGGATCCAAGGAAGGCAAATCATTTAAATAGTTGTACCTAATCAATTAAAAGGAAAATACATGTATAAATATCTCTAAAATATAAGGTCTTCCAAAGAGGAAACCAAAAGAAACCTTACTTTTGTTTCAATTTGCTCAAGAAGAATGTCGCAAATGGTATATCGACAAGGATTCCTTCAAACATGGCCTACAAGGTAACATCATGCCTCGTCAATAAGCGTATGCGTATAATAGATAACGCTAAGGTAGCATACTGGCAAATTAAATATTCATCACACAGAACAGATTAAACTTCAATAATGGAATGGCATACCTTTGCAAGGAGCGATCCCA